AGGAATGCCAGGAAATTATCATCGAGATGTACGAATTGGACGCTTCTACTAATTTCTGAATCGACGTGGAATCCACAGGTGAGAAGCTTCTCGTAAAATTACCATGGAAATACGATAATTAAACGCAAGAAGTAGTATCTCGAACGAATGACAAGTCGAGCTGGACCAGGCGACGAATTAAGAAGAATGCACGTCGCTATCCGGATAAATCACAGGCTTTTCATCAAACTGCCATTGAAACGAACCAATGAAACACCTGAACCTGTTTCTCGAATAAATTAACCAACACCTTGTTATGTAGTTCTAAGAAGCGAGGCAGTAAATAGCAGAAATCGTCAACCTCTCTAAACGAAGAGATCAAACACCTACCTCGATTTCTCGAACGATGAATTACCGCGAGGAAGGTGACGAGATCGAGAAAATGGATCGACCCAAATAAGCTGGACTCCAGGGTGTACCATCGAACGATTAACACCGTTAAACGGCGAAAGCTGATCACCGGCCAATGCTAATGAATCCGCTGCGTTCGCTAACTCGAGAACGATCCGAGAAAAATTCGAGAAAATTTGCAAAAGAGTTCGAAAACTGTTTGAATGTTCCTGCTTTTACTTTCGACGTCTGGTCTCGCGACATTCCTCGAATATTCTCGAAATAGAGGGATCGAACACCGGTTCTATGGCCGCAAACGAGTCACGAGACGAGTGGTCCGCTTTCGAACCTGATGGATGCCTGCAGCCGGAGCATTGTTTCACTCGACTCGGCTGCTTTGCACGATCGGACGATAGTTTGGGACGATTGGATAGACAGACGTCGAGGGGAAGATGGTCATTAGGAACGGGAAGGTGTAAACTGTGTTTCGATTAGGGGATTCGTAGGGAGACCGTGTTTACTCGCGGAGGAATCGATGTCGGAACGCTGGAACGCTGCACGCATATGTAATGCGAAGTAGAAAGTGGAATTCGCGGATCGGGAGGAGATGATAAGCGACCGCGTCGTTGGTTTCGTTCGGAACAGTCAGACGAGTAAATAAGAAAGGGTGCAGAGTTTACGGATTGGAAAAATAAAAAGGTTTCCTATGTTGGCAAACGTTGGAAAATTGGGAATTCTTATCGAGCTTCCTGGAAAGTAATATCGGTATTTCTAGTATAAAATAGTTCCTCGCTTTGAAAGAGGAAAATTTTATCGAATAACGTATCTGCCATTTTAAACTACGATTTCTTGCCATTTTATGGGCCCCGGTATAACCTCAATTAGCACGCGGTTACGTCTAATAGGTTAGGGACACACCCTCGCGTTGGAAAACAAGGCAGCACCATCTGGTGTTAGAATTTGACGTTACATTTAGTTCCCTAAAAAGTAATATCGGCATTTCTGGTATAAAATAGCTCCTCGGTTTGAAACATGGAAATTTTATCGAATAACGTATCTGCCATTTTAAACTACGATTTCTTGCCATTTTATGGACCCCGGTATAACCTCAATTAGCACGCGGTTACGCCTAATAGGTTAAGGACACACCCTCGCGTTGGAAAACAAGGCAGCACCATCTGGTGTTAGAATCCGACGTTACCGATTGGCCAGGTCAATAGCGTTTGCGAGTTAAGATATTGGAGATTGGAGTTCCGAGGAACTGGGAGCTTAAGAAAATCGTCGAAGTCTGAAATTGAGAATCGAAACTCGGGGCTTCTAAAAGATTGGGAACAGGAGTATCGAAGTATGAAAGTTTCCTGATATCGAACTATCGGAACAGTAGAGAATCTGGTACCCTGAAGTTTCGCAAGCTTAAAATGTCCGAATACTAAAAGAATTAGGAAAATTAGAAAAATAAGATAGGTTTTAAAAATTGGCTCATGAAGACTCTTCATACATGATCCCGTACACGATCGCTACCTACTAATGATCGCAGTTGTATTTTCAAACGTTCGCTCGTGTAACATCTGCAACCATGGCACTCCTCTTTAACAGGTCTCGTGACGCTGGTCTTGTGCAACGTTTACGGCAGTCTTGAACATGAAATTCCAAGGAGGAGCTTCCTGTCACGAAGAGCCATCGATGGTACCAGAGGGAGGTATCGCGTTCGTTCCGTTTCGCGTGATATTCGCGCGGACGCATGCGTACGATTAACGAGCAACCATGTTTCAGGAAGTACTTCGATCCGGAAGAAGAGGGAGCGTTCGACAGTTATGGATCTGCCGGTGGCCAGTACGATCCTTACCAGCAGAAAACAGGTAAATTTCGAGTACCTTGTTCCGCGTTTTTCTTTGACCAATCAAAATTTAATCTCGCATATTCAAATCCAAATCCAAGTCCAAATTTAATTTCATATATCTCACGATTCATAGATCTATGTTTGAAAAAGAGCAATTTGCTTTAAATTTTCCTTTTCAAGGAATTTTTTTCAAAGATCGACGATTTAATCGCTCACTTCGCGTTTCTTGAAAGTTTTAAGTTCAATTGATCGTGAAATTATTTCAACGACCGTCAAAATTTCGTCAAAATCGGAATTTAATCTCGCCTAATTGATGATTCGTTTCGTTTAGAGAAGATTGTTTTACTATAAATTGTTCCTTCAATTTTCCTGACCGAAGATTGGCAATTCGAGACGAACTATCAGTTCCTGATATAACCTAACCTAACCTAACAAAGCGTGGATGGATAGAATCGGTGTCGATGCATAATTAATCGAAAGAAAGGAGATGAATAATATCGCCGCCTAAGCATCTGCGCATTAGCATATTGCGAATTCTTTTTGTCGATTCTTCGCTTCCATAGTGTCGTATGGCGACAATATCCGTGTGGAACAATCGCATGAATGGATAAAAACGGTGTCAAGAGTTATTAATTGCCGGAGGCAGAGGAGCAAAATCGATGACGATCGTCGGTGATTAAAATTCAAAGGTGAAATGGGAAATTAAGAAACATCAAATGGAATTCTCCGATGGAATTATCGCTTTTAATGGAGAAGGAATTTTATTTTTTCGCGTTAGAAATCACGAGGCACGAAACTCGAGGATTCCTTGACCCATTCCCATTTTCTAATTGACTATTCTCATAAAATCGCAATACAGATAGGAATCCTCGTTTCCTGCTAACGATCTTCCTATTCATAACACCATCGACTTCGTTCGTCGCCATTGTTCAACCATTTGACAATTATCGCGACGGGTTGTCAGTATCTGGTAGCGACAGTCGCGATTTACAGCCTAATAAAAGAATTTAATCGATAGCGAGAATTACCCGTCGAAAATCGTTACGATACTTATCTTCTTTATCGGTCAAGTATTTCTTTCCCACATAATCTTCGCAATTTTTATTTTCTTTCTTTCATACTAATAAAAGAAACGATAACCAAGATAAGTCTCGGTACTCTTGGATCCTATTTCATACCATTCGCACTGAAATTTTTAATATTTAACTCAAATATTTAAAGGCCCCTTTCTCCAAACTCCATTTTGCATCGAATAATTCATTTATCAGTCTTTACATTTCCACACTTCACTAAGACGTCTCTAAGACGTTAATAACGTCACTCAGATTCTAGGTTCCTAAGTCTGTCATATCTCTTCTTCACACTTTCGTGATCCCATGATTTCAAATAAAACGATCATGCGTTTCGAGCAACGCGAAAATGTCCATCCCAAGACACTGTCAGTCTCGTTCCCATCGAAAGGAGTTCCCAGCATGGACCGTGCATAGGATTATTACGACAGGCTTAACATCAGCCTCGTAGATAGGAAGAAAATTAACAGGTGAATCGAAATTGCCGCGAAAAATTTCATACCGGGCATAATTGTCAGTTATGATACATTCTATGGAAAAAAATCCTGATTACGAGTCTCTGCTTCTCTCTCTCTCTCTCTCTTTCTCTCTCTTTACTCGTTAATAAGCGAGTGATAGACGTTCATTGGATAGAAAAAAACAGGATCCTCGGAACGAGGACATTATCAAGTGGCGTGAAAGGCGATAGGTATGACGTTAGAAAAATCGCGGCATAGGTCACGTGAAACCTATGGCGAATTACGAGAAGCCGAGGACTCACGTGTGGCGCCCACAGCGGGACGAACACGTCCGTTTAAATGTCACACGCGCGAGATTATCCTGACGAGGTCCTTTTCGCGACCTTGGCTTCTCTAGGCTTGGCACGTGTTGCTATTGCTCGCTTACGAGTAACCCAAGTTGCTTCGTGCTTTTAGAATCTTGTTTCGGGCCTTTTCCTTTTTCCTTTTTGCCTTTCGAAGAGTATAAATGGCTAAGAAATGCATGAGGATAGAAATGCTTCGTGTTGGATTAAGAAACGAGAGAGGCTAAATTTGGAGGATGACTAGGAGACTCTTAACGTCCACAGAATGCATAAGTATTTTTTTCCTTTTTTATTTGTTTATGTGTTGGCTTTTTCTATTCACTGTTTTCTTCTTTTTGGGTTTTCAAGAAGTATGAATGACTTAAAAAATGATAACAACAAAAATATTTTATGGTGCATTAAGAAACGAGTGAGGCTAAATTTGGTCGATGACTATGAGACTCTTAATATCCACGTAATGCATGAGAATGGATTTTTTCAACTTTATATGTTGGTTTGTTCTATGGGCTGCCTTTTTTGCCTTTCAGGAATTATAAATGACTAAAAAATGATAAGGACAGAAATATTTTGTGTTGAATTAAAAAAGGAGTGAGGCTAAATTTGGTCGATGACTATGAGACTCTTAATATCCACGTAATGCATGAGAATGGATTTTTTTAAATTTATATGTTGGTTTGTTCTATGGGCTGTCTTTTAAGCCCTTCAGGAAGTATAAATGACTAAAAAATGATAAGGAAAAAAATATTTTGTGTTGAATTAAAAAACGAGTGAGGCTAAATTTGGTCGATGACTATGAGACTCTTAACGTTCGTGGTATGGATGAGAATGGAAATGATAATTGATCTTTTTTTTTGTTTATATAATAGCTTATACTATTCGCTATTTATTTTTTCTTTTTCTGACTTTCAAGAAGTATAAATGATTTAAAAGATGATAAGGAAAGAAATATTTTATGGGGAATTAAAAAATGAAAAGAAGCTAAATTTGATGAATGACTGAAACTCTTAATGGATTTTTTAAAATTTATATATTGATTTGTTCTATTAGCTGTCTTTTTTGGCTTTCGAGAAACATAAATGACGAAACAATGGTAAGGACAGAAATATTTTATGGTAGATTAAGAAACGGAAAAATGAGGCTAAATTTGGTGAATGACTATGCTACTCTTAACGTCCACGGAATACACGAGAATAAATCTCTTTCCTTATTTATTTGTCGATTTGTTTTATTCGCTGTTTAACTTCGAATGGAGATAATTCGTTAATTGATCCATTCACTGGCCGAAGCAATTAACTCCACTTTCCGAATTCTTTTCTTAATTTTATTGCCAACTATTCGACCGATGCTCAACTTCAGATATTTAGGATCAAATTAAGTTCAATCTCCAATTTGCCCAATTAAATTAAATTACTTATTAATTTGTCAAATCAATCGTGTCCAGGATTAAAAATTCTGCTGACCTAATCGATTTGGTAAACGAACGATTTAATTGTACAAATCGATCGTAGAATTTTTACAAATTCCCAATCGAAGATGACTTTGAATGTTACTCCGTTCATTCATGTCAATGGATTATGAAAAATCTCAGTGACACTTCGCGTGCATGCAGCTGAGAGGAATTACAATTTCAAGAGAGCATTCTGACTGCTTGAATAAACAATTAACCGACCATTCACAGTCAACGTAACATTTACCATAATTCAGGATGCACACCTTTCATTCTCAGCGTATACACCAATACAGTCATCTAGTCGCTCAAAGTTCAGCGAAATGCTCACCATCATTCGATGATATTTATTTAATGTCATAACGCTCGGACGATCTGTGGATACTTAACATTCACTAGAATTTATCCCGTGTAATAACTCAGCCTCGATATATTTTTAAACGTTCGACAGGACCTCGTCTGTGATAAAAATTCACGCAGAGTTAACGATATCACTTTTCAATTCATTTATTTATCCTTATTCGCGTTCACCCATTTTATGCTTTTCGTACTATTGGTAAAGTACTGTCGTATGCACTCTTCTGTGTTTAGATTTGTCAGATATCAGGAAGAACGTGCCAGGAGAACCACGTATCGATTAC